GAGGTGCTGCTCCAGCCGTGAGGTTTGGACCACGGTTCAGCTTGCTCTGCTATGCCGGAGCCTGACGGTGCCCAAGGGGCTGATGAGACTTCTGGGTGGTGACTTTCCAGAGCATCGCTCATTCCATTTCCAAGCACCCAAAAATGTTTTCTGTCCTGCTTCTTCCCCTGCCTGAGCTTGTTTTGGTGGGTTGTTTCCAGCGACCGCCGTGGAGACCAAGCTGGGCAAGAACAGGACAGAGGCAGAGGTGAAGCGCTTCACAGAGGAGAAGGAGAGGCTGGAGAAGGAGAAGGATGAAATCCGGGGCCAGCTCACCCAGCTGCGCAAGGAGAGGCGGGAGCTGAAGGAAATGCTCGGGGGCAGCACAGGTAGAGCATGGCAAAGGGTGATGTGTGGAAATGAGCCACGGTGGGACCATGGGGAAGGAGGGGGCAATGAACCTGTCACAACCAGGACCAGAATGGGGAGAGGGGAGTTCTGGTTCTCTGAGTCAAACCATGTAACCCAAACTGCACTACAGCAAGAGATTGCTCTGTCACAGTCCCTCTTGGGGCAAACCATAAGGAACATTTACAGGACATGCCCTGGTCCTTGCTCCCCTCATGAGCTCCCCAGGTCCCCAGCCAGCACCAAGTTATCCCTCCCTTCACAGACAAGAGCCTGGAGCAGAGGCTGAAGGAGATAGAAGAAGAATGCAAAAGGAAGGAGAGCCGGAGAGTGGACCTGGAGCTGAGCCTGGTGGAGGTGAAGGAGAACCTGAAGAAGGCAGAGTCCGGCCCCGTGACGCTGGGCACGGCGGTGGACACCACACACCTGGAGAACGCAGCCCCTCGGGTAGGTGGGGAGCACCCCGGGAGGCACACAGCCTTCCAGCAGCCAGGCAGTCACACCACCTCAGCCTGACTAACAATATAACAGCAGCATATTATTATAATATGTAATCCTATATAAAGGTATGGATTATGTTACTAATATACCTAAACCAATAATATAATAACCAGAGGACAGCAGCGATGGGAAGGTGAAAGGGGGCTGGGGCTCAGGAGAGTGACTGCATTTTCCTGCAGGACCTTGAACAACACCCTCTGGGGCCATGCAGGTCTGGACCCAGCTCAGCTAAGCCAAGGGGGTGGGAATTTTTGTGGGAAGATCCAGACATCTGAATTCCTCTGGGGAACCTCTAAAACAGAGATGGTCACCACCTGAGGCCTGCTCTTCACCTGTGCTTGAGTCCTCAGCAGGCCTAAACACACCAGACACACATATCCTAGTGGTATTTCAAAACTGGCATGTCACTGAAAAGAATCTGCCTGGTTCAAGCAGGGTGTGACTGTGACTTGGAGATGGTGGGGAAAGGCAGCTTGCTCCTCTGGGAGTCTGACATCATTACCATTTCTATTTTTATTGCAGATTCAGGCAAAAATTGCCACTCCAGCAAACAGTGCCGAGAACTCACCAGTCAATTCAGCAACAGCTTTAAAAAACCGGCCCCTATCCGTCATGGTGACAGGGAAGGGAACAGTGCTACAGAAAGCAAAGGTAACGGGAGACAAACCCAGCTAGGACAGCTGCTGCTTCTCCCTCATAGCTGTGGTGGGACAGGGCTGAGATGGGGGTTCTGGCATCTGGGAAGTACCCCTAACCAAGCACCACTCAGAGCAGGGCAGCTTGGATTTGCTCTGGCCTTTTCACCTCTGCCCTAGCTGTGATTAAAATTAATGTGTATTGCTTATAACTGAAAAGACATCCCTGGCCCATGCTGTGGCCAAAACCACTTGACTTACCAGATGACTGAGTTGCTCCTGTGCACATCACAGCTACTGTGACTTGCCAGACTTAACCTTTTGACTAATCTGCCTTTATTCCTTGGCAGGAATGGGAGAAGAAGGGAGCTAGTTAGAACCACGCTTTTCAGAGATGGACTAAAGACTGGAATTGGCCGTGCATGGCCAAGGGGATTCAATCATCTGTAGGTGGAGGTTGGGTGTGCACCACAACCCACACCAAGAGCCTCCTCCACCCTGCACCAACTGCTCAGATGCAGCAATGGAGTCAGCAGCTGCTGAGACGAGTTATCCCAAATGACCTCGCTCTTTCCAGACAAGTCCCAATCATGTAGCTACAACAATAACCACCAGTGGCAATCCTTGCATCAAATTCCTAACCCAGTTGATGTAAACAAGAATGTTACTGTACATAGGAGTGTTTCTGTGTATTTCTACTCTGAAGGTTTATCAATGAGTTATTAAGGTTTCTATATTAGTGACAGTAGTAGTGGGTTCAGAAGGGGCCTCTGCTGTGCTTTATACTCTGGTGGTTTTCAACCTGTCATGGCAAACTGCAGTCCACTGAAATCTCACCTGTCTTGCTGCCAGTCATCACTCAGCTGCATTCCATCCAGCCTTCAGTCAAGAGATGCTAGAGACAAGAAAGAGAAGCACACAGCAGCCTGTCCAGGGGACATTTTTAATTGGTCCTCATGCATCCCAGCATGTGCTTAGTCCTACAGCCCGCTGGAGCTCTGCCAGGACACTGGGGAAGATTCCTCTTCACCTTCTCATGCTGTAAATCTGTGTTACACACCAGTGCCACCAAGAGCTCTGGGCGAAGAGGATCTGCCAAGAAGATTCAGTTAATTTTCTTTAAGATCTTGGTCTGCTTCACCCCAGAAGTTTGTTCTGAAAAGAAAAAAAAAATCATCCTATCTGAAGGTTTGTTAATCTACCAGAGTCGCAGGGCTGTTCAGTCTGGGGTGGGGAAGCTGGACCCCAGCATGTCATTCAGGGCTTGCCCTGTGCTGGGGGAGGAGGGTAAAGCTGTCCCTGTGCTCCAGCTGTGGGCACAGCTCTCCTGATGCCCTCTGGTCCTCGCAGAGCCACAGCTGTACAATCTGCTCTCCTCCAGGCCTGGCAGGAGAGGTTGCACGGCCATGTCTCTGGTGGGCTGCTGGCCACCTTGGTGCTGTCACCCTCATTTCCAAACTATTGAACTTAATACCTTTGGGCCCTGACAGTGTGGCCTACAAAGCCCCCTCTCTCTGCCCTAGCCAAGCTTTCTAATGAGAGATGTTGGACATTTGAGACTGCTAAACTTAGAGACATTGAAGGCATATTGCTGCACCCCTTCCTCCCTGTAACCTTCTCTCATGCCTGATGGCCTAGAGACACCTCTGCCTGTCTCCTCTGATGGTCCTTCAGCACTGGAGCTCAGGCTCCACAACTGGGTTGACTGTGCCAGGGCTGCAGCTCTTTTCCAACCCTGCAAAGCTCAAGTAGCACTGGTACCCTGGCTGGGTTGTTCCTGAGGTCCTGCAGCTACACTGATGAGCAGCACCCAGACCCAGGGTAAAGAAAAACAGGGAAAATGCTGTACCTTCCTAACCCCTGAACACCTTTGATGGGACCCACACCATCTCTTTGAAGGGCTGCTCCTTCCTTGCACAAAGGCCCAGCAACTGGGGGGCCACTGACACTTGGAGCTGGTGGTGGCACTTGGGGAATGAGAGGCTCTGGGCTTGCTTGGCACTACCATGGAGCTGGGGTGCAACAAAGCACTTGGAGGCAAGCAAGGTGACCTCACTTTTTGTTTTTTTTTTTTTTTTTATTTTGAAAGTCCCCACTGTGGTGCAGATGGGAGGAATTTCTCACCCCAGGTCTCAGGAGTACCCAAGCCCCAGCTGTCAGGCCCATCCTCGTGCAAGGTTTGCACACAGGAAAAACTCGAGCAAACTTCTGGTTCAGGACCTAGGGGACTTTTCTCTGCAGAGCACAGGGAGGCCATGGGCACCACAAAGCTTTTGTTTTGACCCATGATGAGCTGGCAGGAGACCCTCTCTACACCCTGAATACATGTGTAGTGCCGTGCTCTCACCATATATGCTGCTGCCATCCTCCAGGAGTTGTCCAGACATTTCACAGTGGTACTGAGGCAGGGATGGATGAGAGTAGCTCTGCTTTCCCCACCACAGCCCAGTCAGCTTCAGCAGTCCTGTTGGGCTCTCTCCACCAGGGGCTGGTAAGCATCGACAAGTCCTGAGCAACACATATTCCCAAGACAAGAAACATTAAAAAAGGTCCCTGTGTCCCCATTGTTTCCCTAATGAAGGCATTTCCTTTACTGTAACTGTGACCTATAAAGTGGCGCTTTAGAGGGTTTTGTAATAAAATGTTGAGTATATTAGCAGTGTTTTTTCTTTGTGACATGGCTTCTCCTTGCTCTACTTTCCAGGAGATTTCAAATACAGCAAAACCACCCCACCACCCCCTCCAGCACTGTTATTTACTCCAGTGTTCCTTAGCTATGCTGTCTACAACTGCAATGGACTATATCTTAAATAATTTATTCCTCTAGAGTGACTACACCCTCAAGAAAAAAAAAATCCAGGCAGGTAACCCACTGAAAACCAGCACTAACCCTGACAATTTGCATGATACACATAACAAGTTCCTGCCTGTGTCTCTGTAGCAGAGTCCTCTTGCACAAAACCAAGAGAGGAATGCACCCAGTACCTCCCTCTGGCCACTAGATAGCAACTGTGTGCAATGCTTGGTCCCTGCTGCAGCCACTGAAGGGAAAACCAGGATGGGGTTCAGCTGGAAAGGAAGGAAAAGAGTTAGTAAAGGAAAAGGTTGAGGACGGTCTACAGAAGCCACATCTGTGAAATAGCTTCTGGTGGCCATAGCACTGCCAGCCTGGGAAGGCCCCACAGCTATGGGACAAAGTGCTGGGAAAGGTCCTGCTCCCCTGCCTTCCCCAGCCCACCCACTGACACAAACCTGCCAACAAGGCCATTAGTGCCCTGTCAGGATCTCAGCCCAGGAATCCCAAAAGAACACCTCCTTTTGGGATTGCTGGTTTTGTGAGCTGAAGCTGCCCATTGCCTATGCTTTATATATGCTTTTTTTATATATGCTTCACAGCACCTCAGTATGGGCTCCAGCTGGCCCCAGCACACCTCTGCCTCTTGCAGAATCATTGTATCATTTGGGTTGGAAAAGATTTTTAAAATCATGGAGTCCAACTATTAACCCAGCACAGCCAAGTCCACCACTAAACCATGTCCCTCAGCACCTCACCTACATGTCTTTTAAACACCTCCAGAGATGGCGACTCAACCATTTCCCTGGGGAGCCTGTTCCAGTGATTGACAACCCTTTTGGTGAAGAAATGCTTCCTATTGTCCAAGCTAAACCTCCCTGGCACAGCTTGTGACCATTTCCTCTTGTCCTATCCCTTGTTACTTGGGCGATGATCCCTGTGGAGCACCATGGTAGCAAACACAGCTGCCTGTTTGCTCACCCAAGCACCACAAGACCCTTGTGCTTGACCCAATGCAGTCTCATCCCACAAAATACCACGTTGAAGGACTGGGCCCAAAGACACAGCCATGTAGGGGGACAGAGCTCCTACTGCCACCAGACACCTAACACAACTGAATGCCTATTGTTACTGTTAAGGGTGGTGACATTTGTGGCACATACTTAAATCCCAGTTCCTTAAAGGAGGAACAGACTCTGCCTGAGGCCAGCACATGGCTCACAGCCAGCCAAGGTGCATCCAGCAGTCCTGCAGAGCAAGAGTAATTCACAGCTCCAGCAGCAACAGCAGCCCAGACATCTGGTGACCACCTGGCACAGGCGAGGTCCCCTGTGCTCCCCTGCTGCCAGACAGGATCAGCCCTGGCTCTGCAGGGACCCCACCTCCTCGGTGGCTGTGCCCGCCTCAAACAGCAACCCGGCCCGAGGGGAACGAGCCCCCAGCAGGTAGGTTCTCATTAAGCATTTATGATCGAATCAAAGCAAATCTGAGAGTGAATTTTATAAGGCACCATGGCAGAGACTCAAGCCACTTACTTACTCTTTTTAAATTAAAATTTGCAGGAGAAAGGGCATAGAAATTAGCCAGGATCTTCAACTCACATTCTTAGAAAGGAAAAGAAAACAGCTCCAACAACTGCTGGGCAGTGTCCTGCTTGCCTGGGTGATCAGCAGGTCATCAGGTCTCCAAAAGCATCACAGATATCCTGACCTTTGTTATCAGTTTGGCTTCTCCTGTCCCCTCCCAACGCCCCACCACTTTCTTACCTTGCAAAGTGCTTCATCCTGTTTAAGAGCTGGTGGGTGCTGCCACTGCCAGACACCATCTGAGCAACGATCCAAGCCTTCAGTAACCAGCTGCATCCAGAAGGAAGGTCACAGTCGCAGCACATGTAGCTCCTCGATGCATGAGGAACCCTGGGGCATTTTGAGCACCAAGACATCAACCAGAAGCACCCAGAGGCTCAGGGCTGGCCTTACGAACCAGCTTTCCTGAAACTCCTCCATGAGTTTCTGATCTTTCATACCACCTCTACCTGAGAAACTGATGCATGGGGCTAGATGTACCCCATCCAGCATTAAAATGCTGTCTCCAGCATGAGATTTTGCACTCTGCAGTTCCTGAGTGCACAGAGAGGTTTGTCTCTCTCTGCTTAAAACCAGCAGGATGGTACAAACACAGGGTCCCCCCAGCTCGGGAGCCAGGCGAGCATCCTTTGTCCCAGTACAAGTCCACACACTCTAAAAATGTACGTACTAGCTATGTATTAAAACAAAAGAACTTACAAAGGTTACTCCAAACCCTGTTTGCCACAAGGCAAAGTTCTCAGCAGCACTGTACCAACTATGCTGCAGGCAACAGAGGTACAAGGAAAAGATCTGAGCACCTCAGGAAGCACATCCCAGCTCCAGAGCTGTGCCAGACAATGTAAATGTGCTCCTGTCAGAGGGAACACTGATCCTGCAGAGGACAAAGGCCTGTGAGGAGCAAATTAACGATGCTCTTGGACACAACTATAGCTGAGAAACTATCTGGGAGCTGCAAACCCAACAGGGCAGCAAGGGGGGAAGTGGCTGTCTTGGACCCTTCTTACAATGGAGGATGCCCAGGGAGGGTGAGGAGAGTTTTTAGAGCAGTCTGGCTGGAATCCAGCCAGCTCCAAGGGTGCTTCTACACCATAAAACACAAACCACATCTTCTGTGTCATCCTCCCCACAAGAGACCATTAATAGATTGGTTTCCCTTTCTATCCCAAATGTCAGCCCTTCAAGTAAGCCTTTATTTTGCTATGCCTTAGGATACAGACAATCTACTGAAGTGACAGTGAAAAGAGAGAGGAAATTCTCCTTTGTCCTAGCCTGGTTTCTCCCACAAGGTACAACAGTGCTGCTGCTGTCTCCGTGCCAGCTTTCAGCCCCAAGAGAGCTTTTAGACCATTCTTCTTTTGACAACAAACCTGCAGAGTAATTTGTTTTTCTCTTTGTACATCTAATGTTACTATTCAAACACAGGGCCAGGACATCTGGGTGAAGGGATTTTTCTTCTTCTGGGAACAATAGATGATATTTTCACAAGTGTTGGCAGTCACAGTTATGTCTCTGCCTTGGCCCTGTCCAGAGCTGCTCCTGCTCTCCCAAGGTGATGGATGCCATGGGAAAGGCAGCAGAGAACAACAGGACAGTGTGAACCACAGGCCCTGGGGGAGCAATTACGTAAAGCTTACATCTTCATGGGCAATTTGATACAGTGATCCAGTGAGGCTGATGCTCTGAAGGGTGCAGGCATGTGGCCAAACTCTCTTTGGAGACACGTGAGACACCGCAGCCCACCAGAGGACAGCTTGTGCTGCAAAGAGCACTGCTGTGTTGAGGACAAGATCAGCTCAGAACAACAAAGGGAGGCAGAAATGCCCTTCAGCTCATCTGTCTGGGTTCAGGCCAGGACAAGCACGCTGCTCTCCCCAGCCAGCACCAAAAGGAGAGCAAAGCAACATGACAAAGCTCTGAGCCATAGAAACAGCACCAAAAAGAAGAGGTGGGACTTGACCTAGAATGGGCAAGAAAGGAAGAATAAGATAAAAATATGCACCAAAAGAGAGAGCAAAGAGGTGACCAGGAGGAGGAGGAGAAAGGAAAAGCTGGATGAGATATGGGAGGAGAGGCCCAAGCCTCTTCCTCCTCCAACCTGCAGTGCCCTGCTCTGCTCCCAGACCCATGCAAAGCTGCTCAGGAGATTGTCCTGGTCCTTTCTCCTCCAGATCACTGTGGCTGGCAAATAAATGCAAGGCTGGGAAAGGAGGAATGGCGTTAAACCCCAAACTAGACAGATCAAGGTTCAGAGACCAGCAGAGTGGTACAAACTGTGGCTCCATCCAGAGACTACAAGAGCCCAGACATTTGTTTGGCAATGTCTGCAGGATTGCCCTTACCTGCTGTGTCTGAAACACAGGCAACTGGATTTGACCTGGCTCAAACCTAGGAGAAAAACAGTTAACACACCTGCTGAAAACAGCAACACACACCAACTGTCACAGCTCTGCCCTACAGTTCCATAAACCACTGAATACTCTTCCAATCCAATCCTCTTCAAACCCCTCCCTATCAAAAATATGCAGCTACAAAAAGCCTATGAAGCTAAACCATATTAGATCACTCCAAACAAATTCAGAGGAGACAGAGGTACAGACAACTTACAAAACACAATGAGGCTCATCATGAGTTCTCCTTCCTCTTCCCTCCTTCCTCCAGCCTGTAACAAGCCATTCACTCCAACACCTGGCTCCCTGTACATAATACACATCACCCCATTTCAGCAGGGAACTCCAGAATTGCTCAGACTTCTACATATTTTCAGAGTACACCAAAGACCTCTCAAGAAGTCTGTTAAAAAAATAAATTTAAAAAAAAAGAAAAATCACACAACACTAGAATCTGGATGAGGAAATGCAAAATGCCAATAATAAATATTTAAGCACAAATATTTACTTCAATTAAAAAAGAAAGAGAGCACTGGGAAGCCCAGTTTGTGCAATGCTGGAGCTGTGAATGGCAACTCAGCCACTGCCAAGGACAGGGGTGGCTGGCAGCAAGGGCTCCCAGGCAGGGAACTGGAGCACTCAGCACATCTGTGTCAGTGTCTCTGATGCACGTGTCTTCTGGTGTGCCGGGGGACTCTGGAGAAGCTCTGCACACCACCTGAGCTCTGCTGCACATGGGGCTGTGGAGGAAGGACCAGAGATCTTGGAGAATCGCCCCGGAGAACTCCTGTTGTGGAACAGAAACACAGGCGTGGGAGAAGGGCTTTAGGGCCACGGGATAAGCTCATGCTCCATCCATTACAACTCAAGCAGCACCCACACAGCCTTAGCTGGCACATGTTAGAGGCCATGGCGTGAGTCAGAACTCCTGGACTTTGGAGAAGAGCACAGTACTAGGGGGAAAAAGAGACTTAATTGAGAACATCTCACTAGGGGCACAGGGATTGTTTCTTCCAGCAGTACAGAGGGAAAAGAGGAACAGAACAGAATGGAAGAAGATGCAAGTTAGATAATGGTTGGACTCGATCTTAGAGCTCCTTTCCAACCATAGTGATTCTGTGAAGATTATAAAAATTATTAGACCTTCTTCAGGTCCCCTCACAGTCAACTCACTTAGTGAACATGTAAAGCAGGGCACAGCTTCTTGAGAGAAGCCCTTGTTCCCTTCAGCAGCCCAAACCTCTCCACTCTCCATGTGACAGAGGTCCCAACAGCACCAAGACTCAGCCTCCAAACAGCTGTCCAAGAGTTACAGCCACACCTCTGCCCGGGGGAGAGGTGGAGACGTGGGATCCGTTCAGAGGGGCTGGGCAGAAGGGATGACACCTGCTGGGGTTGCCAGCTGCTGATCCTTACTGCTCTCACAGTGGGGTCCTTCCCAGCCGTGGCACTCGCACCGGTAGCTCCCAGGCCCAAGGATGCACACGCCCTGGTTCATGCACGGGTTGGGTTTGCACAGGTTCACAGGGCTCCTTGCTTCTGCAAGAAACAAGCAGAACAGCAGGCTCAGGCACATCTGCAGGGTATGAATGGCTAGGATCCCATCCATCAGGAACACTGCTAAAGTAACAGCAGCTGCATATCCCAGACACCAAAAAATGTCACCTACGGCTAATGGGATTGCAAAACCACATTAACATGGCAGAGGCTCACAACCCTGTCTTGGCACAGAGGACAAACTCCTCTGTGGTTAACCTAGAGAAGAGGAGCAACAGCTTTACTAGATGTTCTGATCTGGAGGATAATATTCCTAATAAAGCTTAAAAGAGTGACATGTTAGGCTGCATATCAAAGAAAAGCAAAATGAAGCATTTTCAGAGCTGTGCACTGAACACACAAGCACCTTTGAGACCCCACATCCAGACACTGTCAGTGTAAAGCAAGGCATGTGCCCTGCTCCAGTTTATAACCCTGAACACCACTGGAGTTCAAGCCTCACTTTATCCTGGAGAGAGCCTAAGCTTCCACCAGAGAGGAGCAAGGACAAGAAGTCAGCTGGGAAGCAGAGATGGTATGAATGGCAAACAACACAGAAAAATTTCTGGGCTTAATTTCTAGGAGTTTTGAGAGAAAAGCCTGTAACCACAGCCCGAGCTGTTATTAGCCCTGTTCTCATGGAGTATGTGACAGCTTTCCCCCCAGCTGGCAGCAGGGCTGGCAGCACCTCAGGCTGCCTTGCTGTGAACACGTTAGGGTAAGCAGCACCATCCCGGGGGATTCACCTCCAGTCTGCTGGCAACACCACCACAGTGCTGGTAGTGGTGTGAAATTCCTCTGCCAAACAGCTACTGGGGGAGAGTCTGGAGCTGCTGGCCTTGCCCTTGCTCCATGGTAGAAAAGCACAGAGGGAGGAGGAAAAGGGGAAAGAGAAAGAATATACATTCTATTCCCTGTCCATCAGGAGCACACGCCGTGCTCACTCTCCCCGTACAGGTAACAAGACGTGCACATCAACTCTCAAGCTACACCTAAGACTGGCAATATCATCACTGAAATTCAGGTTTTGGACAGTCAAATCCCAGAGTTGAGACGTCGCAATCTTTAGTTCCTCTTGATTTTTTATGGAGCCAAGTTGGGTTCAACAACAATTTTACCACCACATGACATCTCAGGTGGGGTCCTGCCTAACAGCGTGCCCCAGGGACAGACACCTTTGCTTCCACTGCAGGCTGGCAGAGCCACTGGCAATGAAAGCTGCATCTCTTGGACACAGCACTCACCTTCCAGGTGCTGGCTGCTCCCCAGAATGCTCTTCCACAGTGCTCTGCTCCACACGTCATGCACCCACCACTTCCCTCCACAACTGCTCCACAGCATTACCTCGCAGCCCCTGTCTGGGGGAGTGATGCTGTTCTGCCCAGACACCATTTCTCTGAACTCAAGCCTACTGTCATCACCGTATCATCTTAAATAAGCTTCTTGCACTTCAGGGATTATACCCTTTGATAATCCCAAGAGTTTGTACTTCCATTTATCAGATTCATATATATTTAATGCTTGAGATCTTTTCTCCCAGACCATGGATCATTTTTTTTCCTGGTTTCTTTTCAGCTGAGCCTCAGAATAAATACACTATTCCAGGTGTCCAGAGGCAAGGGTCTTTTTCTCAAATACTTCTATCAAGACTCAAATTTTTTTCAAGTCCTTTCACAGACAATGATTCTGTTATTAAGTCTTGGACCTGGGAGTAGAAGTCTGAATGAAGGGCTTATCTTTACATCACCCTTGGTCCCAGCCTATCTAGTAGAAACAGCGATTACCTGCACATGAAATGAAAGCAGCAATTCAGCCTCAGGAAATGAGATGTTATTACCCTGACTCACTGAACCTTGCCATCTCTTCCCCATCATCTGTGTCATTGTACTTAATTTCATGGTACAGTAGATTGGTTCTATAATAACCCAGATGAAAATACCACCACAAAAGGAGCACACTGAAAAGCTCCAGGTAGAAATCATCTGCACAGCCTGCCAGGAGAAGGGCTCCTCGCTCCAAAGAGATGGAGCTGTAGTTCCTTCTAATCCTGAAGGAGCCACCAGCACGCCCAAAGATGGAAAGGACCTTTGATTGTGCTGAAGCTCAACATACTTCTTCACTTGATCTTACAAACAGGTTAAAACAGAACAAGAGCAAATGGCTAGATGTTAAACTCTGACTATTCTGATTGAGAAACAAGGCACAGCACCTCAACTAGATGTACCTTCTCCACCACTAATGTCTGCAAAACAGGGCTGCCATCCTTTCTGAAAAGTTGACTTCCATCAAACACAAGCCCTCACACTCAGCACATGTTCAAAACTTGGTATCAGAGTCCATTTTTTCCCAGCTTGGGGACTGGCCCTCAGGACTTGAAGTTTTGAAGAAAGTGCACTTTTTTTTTTCTTGCACAAGCATGAGCTTTTACATGAAGATTTGACAATTCTTTCTCCTCGCTTTGGAGATAAAGATTTGGTCCTGCAAACAAAATTAATCACATGTTATCTGAAGGCCTCAGTTTAAGACTGCAGGCTTCAAAATGGGCAGATTATGATTTTAGGATTAAATCCTGTGCAACACAAATAAAATCTCAAGAGCCTACACGATAACTTCAGCAGCAGGACACAAAGAAGGAAGAGGAGTGATGAGATTTCAGACCCACTTCACAACACCTGGGCACAAACCTGATGAACAACACAGCAGAGACCTTACTCAGGAATCAACAGTGTTGGCTGCAGAAACGTGTCCCATTCAGATCCCCCAGCAACACTGCAAGGGAAGTAATGCACAGCAAATTCCACAGGTTTAAAGCAACATCAGAAAAAGAGGAGCTCACTTAGTAAAGCACCAGAAAACCTACAGTAACAACAGCTGGTGGCACCCCACTCTTTAGTGAGGATGGGATGTCCTCTCACCTTCACAGATCCTTTCAATGATAAAGTCTTGATAATACTGCAGGTCTTCATAGGAGGAGATGTGGACCAGGTAGTCGGGAGACCCAGCAACCCTCAGCAGCACGTCCCTCTGTGCATCTCCAATGACAACCACAAACACCAAGATGCCGTTGTGCCTCAGCTGCTGGGCTGGGGCGGCTGCATCCTCCATGCCACCTCCACCCGTGAGCACCACCACCACCTTGTGGACACCAGGTCTTGCTCCTTTCTGCACGGTCATCACCTCACCATAAATATGCAGCAAGGCACTGCCAGCAGAGGCTGAGTCCCCGAGGAAAGGCACCCGGTCAATGGCTTGGAGGACAGCTGAACTGCTTGTGTGGGTGTCCAAAGCAAACACGGTGTGAGCTCTCCTGCCATATATCACCAGGGCAATTTGGGTGACATCCCGGTTGACACTGAAGTGCAAACAGCTGCTCCTGACAAAGCTCTTCAGCTGCAGAAAATTCTCCAGACCAACTCCAGACGAGGCATCCACTGCAAATGCCAAGTCAAGAGACTGTGCCTGGCAGCCTGGATGGAAGTGCAAAGAGGTTTTTTTCAGAATAGGTATGTGCTCCTTTCTGACCAAAGCAAGCAGAGGGGGGAAGCGGTGGGCAAAATTCATCACTACCCATCACTGCCTGCGAAGGGTGAGCTACGACCCTTTCATACCATCATAAAAAGCAGTGAAGGAAGATTAATCCCTGGATCTGCGACTGACGCAAACAAAACCAGGACATTCATCCTTCTGTCCTTCCCTCCTCCCCAGGGGAGTTCAGACCTCCTCACGGTTTGACAAACTTGTCCTGCAATGCCCATATCACAGTCTTACCTTCAGGATTGCCCACACTGCAGATTCTTCTCTGCAGCTCTGGGATCCTGTTGAACAGGTCCTGGGGGTTCGAGTAGACAATTGTCTGCTTCGGGCTGCCAGCCACCTTGGTCAGCTCTGCTCTCATGAAGCTGCTGCCCACACCAATCAAGAAGAGATCTTGGTCCCTTGCATACTTAGCAGCTTCTGCCACTGGGTCCTGGGACTTGGAGTCAGTGAGCAAGACAACCACGTGTGGGAGGTTATCCTGAGCATCTGCAAAGACTGGGGTGCTTCTAAAACCATGCTGTGCAACATACTGCAGGGCTTTGCCTGTCAAGGCTCCTCCTCCACTGAAATTCAAAGCATCAATGCTCTTTGTGAGACTGAATACATCCTTGTGTTGGCCCACTCCAATAGGTATCCTGACACTGTCATCATACTGGGCCACCCCTACATTCACTGACGAGTCCTGGCCCATCACTGCTTGTAGGAACCTCTTGAGGAAAGCTTTGTAGCGCAGGAACCCTTCCAGCGTGACCCCTGCCGAGCTGTCCATGAGGAACAGGAGGTCCACGCTGCACTCAAGGCTCAGCTTTGTTGCTGAAAAGGCAGACAGCAATTAGTCATATGCAGGGCAAAAAGACAAGCACACCGGGCACCTCAGCTGGGGTCTGCTGGAAGCCCTGCGGTGTGGAGAAGGGACATTGTGTCCAGTAACCTAAATGGTTTGCCAGACATGGCACGAGTTGAAAGACAACTGTGCCAGGAAGGCATTTTAGTTTGGTTGGATGCCACATGAGCCTTTACAGACAGGAAATATCTATGGGAGTCTGGCAGGATTCCTGGACTTTTGGATGGCCAACTTCAAATTAGAAATGACAACTTCATCCTCTTAGTAGTCTGAGAAGAATACCCAGAGTTTCAGCACAACGTGGATAAAGGAGAGTCCAAGCACCAGACCCACATCTGTAACACCCTGAGACACTTTAAAGTGGGAGTCCTGACTCTGAGGGAAGTAAGTACAAAGTATTTTCTAAAGACCCTTCTGGGTTTCTTACATTGAACCCTCAAAATCAGGAGTCTCTCCTGGGTCCATGTGTGCAGGGAGGGGACCAACAGGCATACCTGCATGTGTCTCCCAGTTTCTCTGTTCTCCTGCTCACATGGCACATGCATTTAGAAACAGAGGCAGCCCCTCCAGGGTGAGCCTGCCCGTACTGGTGTTCTTGTATCCACAAGGTTTCTGAGCAG